GTTATAAAGTAAATTCAGAACAAGTGAGATTTAAAGCCGTGGACGCTGACTGCTCTTTCTGTGTGAGGGTGTCTGTCGGAGCAATTTGTTTGTCATTTTCAATTTTCTGGCAGACACTCGTTGGTCTGTTTGGATCATGTCAGATTTTCTCGACACCTTTGCTTTAGACAACTTATCACAGATAGAGGTCTTAATATATTACTTCCTGTTTTAGGTTGCAAAACCGATTCAGCATGTATCTAGATTTCTACCCTATGGAATCCCACTCAGCACGATATAAATTCTGGCAAAATAAGTGGCTAAAGTAAAGTATTTATCTTTCCTGACATGCAAGAGTAGTAGAAGTAGAAGAAATAATAACAGTAATGATAATATGCAATTTATACAATATTAATGTTTACTTATTTTTTAATCCTTATTCAAAAATTATGTAAAGACTGATATTTGGAGTTCTGTACTTGTTAAAATGGCTTGAATATTTCTTAGAATTAATAAAGCTATACACAATCCCTAAAAATTTAATAATTGTTCAAATTAAACTGGATAAACTCATCATTTATTGTACTATATTACAGTATGGAAGTGCCTGTAAAATAATTGCCAAGCTATATGCTATGTAAATATTCCTACTTCTTTTGCGTTTTCTCAGCTAAGCATTTTAATATATATATATATATGTATATATATAAAACAATAAACAATCATAATCTCTCAAATTATCTTCCAAAATGGTATTATTATTGGGCCACCACTAAGTAATTAAATTTGATTTGTATCTACATTAATTAATTAACCTTAACATTTCCCAGAACACTTAAGCTAATAATAGATCTTGAAAGACCAGATTGTATTTTGTTATAATTATTTCCACTACACTAGCATCATTAGAGAATAACCATCAGCCAGGCTTCACATGTGTGGGTATCATCTACCAACCACAAATCACATCAGTGAGTTCTTAATTTACTTTTTTCATTAGCTATTAACATTAGACAGAATTCCCTACTGAAAGTTAAGATTGCTTGGCATGGGCTTGCATTTTGTCATTGACTGATCTTGTACAAAAGCATGCACTTTTAATTATATCCCTTGAGTGGATTTTTACAGTTTAGTTTTAAGAGTTTTCTTGATAATATATTTTATTAGATACTATAACGACAGTTATTACTTATCAGCACTTATACCCAATTATATATATGACCTCAGAAAAGGTCAATATGAAATAATTCAAGTAATTTATATTGGAATATGAATGAATAGGTGCAGACATTTTTCTGTTAAATATTTAGATATCTTCAACACTTCAAAGTAAGACAGAATAAGGAGGCCTTAGTGTCTTTACTACAAATAAAAATGCTGATACTTAGAGTTAAGAAGAGGACTCGGCTGGCAAAATGTCTGCCACATCAGCATGAAAACTTCAGATTGGATTACTAGCAGGTATTCATACACATACACATATACATATACAGTGCACATCTGCAATTCCAGCAGTAGGAAGCCAACCGGGAGGATCCTTGGAACTCACATTACAGCCAGACTGGCCAGTTGGTGAGCTCCAGGTTCAGTGAGAATCTGTCTCAAAAACTAGAGGGAAGAAAGGCTGAGGAAGACTAACATTAACATCTGGCCTCCACAAAGCATATGTTCACAGTGGCATGTGCACCCACACTCAGCCACCCACACACAGATTCACACACACACACACACACACACACAAAGTTGATGCATTTCTAATAAATACCACTAAATTCTAGGATAACAACTTATTATCAGACTGAATTATGTTCTCAGATCTGTTCCGCATTTGTGTAGATGTGGTTCGACATAATTAAAACACCACTATTGATATTACTACACTCTGTAGCTACATTTAAACCCTCTATTCACAAAAAAACAATGTGCAAAAGAAACAGATGATGATTAAGATCTCTTTAGTTCTAAAAATCAAACAATCAATAAAAGTATACAGCCTCTGTCTCTGCTGCTGATCAGATTGGACCCTATTTCAACCATGGTTAATGGACCCTTGAAATTAGATAACCCTTACATCTAATCTTAGCTATGAATTTCTTTATCATGCCTTGAAAAGAATAATAAATTCAGGCTTTGTGGGCATCGTTAAACAAACAAAAACATTCAAAGTACTCAATGAAACTTCCTTGTGTCAACAGCTCTGTCTGTGTACTGTAGGGTTCAAAGAAAGCCATTTCTGTCAACACTAGCTATGTAATTGAGTAAGCTAGAAACGCTCCCTTAACAACAACCTAGGCTGAGTGCATGCATCCAACTTGATGATGATGAGAACATCTCTTTACTCTGGATGTAATGTATGGACCTAGCTTTGGAGAACATAGAAATTCATTACAAAAAGAAGACAAGAAAATACTAGTATTTCTAAACTGCAGAAAGTCAGCACAGTTACATATATTTAATAATTTTTTTATATTGTGTTCAAGTTCTTGGTGCTTAGCTCAAGGATAAATCTTAGTAACACAAAGACATGTGCAGAGGCAACAAGCCTACACAGCACCTTCAAAAACCTGGTAACAATGAAATTCTACAAAGTCAAGCTAAAACCTTTTTAAGATAAAAATGCTGTGAATGTAGCGCCTAATTTCATTCTACTTATAAAAAATGCTTTTCCATTTCTAATATCTCTCATTTTACTTTCGAGAATATAGTACAGTAATAATTTTATACACTGGTGGTTGATCTAGAAACTCCAGGTGAGAGAGACAGAGAGAGAGAGAGAGAGAGAGAGAGAGAGAGAGAGAGAGAGAGAGAGAGATGAGGACCTAAATTTGATTCTCAAATTGTGATCAGAGCCCTGGCAAAGTAAAGACAGGTGGATCCTTGGGCACATGCTTGCTGTCCAGCCAGCTGATCTATGCATACCTTATCCAGTAAGTCACAGATAATTGAGAGACTGTCTAGAAAACCCAATAGAATACTTGGGTGAAGAATGATACCCATGGTTGGCCTCTGTCCTTCATATACATACGTGCATATGCTTGCAGACACATGCACAAAGAAATAAACGTACCAATTCTTATGAAGGTTCACCAGTTCCACCAATTCTTACAAAATGTCAAAGAAAACATCAATCTGTAAAGATTGAGTTTGACCATAGTCCTCCCTTAGCAAGAATAAAATCAATTTAATTGCATTGAATGAATGTTTTCAATAAAGCTCGGCAGAATATTATTGCATCCAATCCCTGTCAGTCAAAACTTTTGAGGCCTTCTGCTTGTGCCACCAAACAGAAGATTGCTTCTCTATGACTTTGTGAAAACAAAACAAAACAAAACAAAAAAATCACAAACTTAGTAACAGAGTAGAAAGAACAAGATTAACTCTAGAAAGTGTGGAGAAAATTGCTTTCTCCTTATGAGAAACTATCCTGTGTCACGCAAGTAAACAAAACACTTGTCAGCTTGACCTGGTTAAGGACTACCTTCAGAGTTCATTAAAATTTTACAGGGATTACAAGAGCTGTCTATAACTAAAGTTATTAGAAAATTTACTGGGGATAAAAAAAGTAGAAAAGTAAAACAGATGTGAACTAATCTGTGCATGATCATAGTCAAGGCAAGTCCCTGGAAGAAAATTTTCTTTAGTGTGTAATATATATTGCTACTAAATTCTATTTCCATTAAATTCATTTACCAATAAAATACATCTCAGTAGGTAGAATCTTAACAACAAAGAACAGATACTACCACAAACACCGCCCACCTCTATACACTATGGGATGATAAGCACAATCCCTCCTTTCTTTAATTTCAATATGTAATTGAATTCAAGGACCACTCATTTCTGTTGTACAACATCAAAGAAATCTACAGACCCCAGCAAGTCCTACAAGGGAAACCTACTCCCTCTACCCATCCCCTTATTTTTGCTTTCTTTTTTTTGGCAGACTCTGTAGGAGGAATGTCCTTGCTGTTTAAATATGTTACCTGCTCATAGCTCCAACATTAACCAGTTTTATAATTCATCACAAGAGAATATTTTTCCTTCCTTAATCTCATAAATTATCAACGCTTCAGCCAACACTGTTATTGATGATAACGTCCTTTGACGTACTGCAGACACTACTATATTCTCTCCTGTTCTTCTGGGTAGCTGAATACAAAATCGTCTCCAAGACTAGGCAGGAGACCTTGTTCTCTCAATATCAGCTCTTGATAGAACAATCATTTCATAACTGACTACTCAGTATTACAGCAAGGCACCATGACAGGGTTAATCATTTATAAGGAAGAGAGAAGAGTCAATTGATTGCAGTTTCTTTGCTCTGCCCCACTCCTCATCTGTGAGAAGGCTTGGTGGAAAACTTATTTCTGACTCTATTTTATAGCACTATGGTAGAAAGGGTTACATAATCACAGAAAAGAAAACCAGACTGGTAAATAAGTAAGTAAATTGGCATCCAATTGAAGAAGCAGGACTGATCATATGCCATGATTCAACATTAGCCCTCAAGTAGATGCACTATCACATATTCTCATGATACACAATATCAAATAAAAGTTAGAGAAACATTCAGTCATGCCTGGTAGCCAAGATAGTCTCAGAGGTGTTTCAGTTTTGGGCTTTTCCAGATTTGGGCATAGCAATGGAATTAGGAAGTTTTGTGGTTTGTTGAACATTTGTTTTCAATATTTATGGGTTATGTATACACACATAAGTACTCTTCATGATTAATAATGGAATAAAAATTTTCAACTCATCTCAAGTAATCTATTAAATTGTGTTACAAATTCATTTTATCATGCCCTACAATTTATACAAAATATGTAAAAGGCAAAAGTAAATGAAATTAAGATCTTGTGTATAGTGCATATTGAAAAGAAACACCCATGAGAGATCTGTTATTTTGAAAGGAATATAACTTGACAGCTATGGTTCCTTAATTTCCATTTGTTAAAACCATGGATGCTCACATACATAAAAATATTCATACACACACACACACACACACACATGTAACTTACACAATTTCATCGTTCTGGAATTCGAGTTCTCCACAGGTGTCCTCAAAGTCCTCCCCTCCACCTCGGGCTGTTCCTTCAATGGTTTTATAGGGAACAATAACATTTCCTCGAGCTCCGGATGTTCTCAAAACCTTCACCTCCATGATGCCAATGCTCTCGCTCACGTGAGTCACTGGTTCCTCAAATGTAAAGATGCCTGCATGGTCATCATCAAAAATGGTCACGGTGGCAGTGCAGGGGGACCCAAGACAAGCAAGTGTGGAAATATGATTGGCTTCTAGTATGCTATCTTCTGAAGCTTCAGAAGAGACTCTGACGTTGCTTAGATGCACAAGGAAGTTTTCATCCTCTTCAAAGATATCATCATCAATGATGCCGACTCTGATCTCCTTCTGGGTCTCCCCAGGTTTAAAGATCACAGTCCCTTCAGTGAATTCATAATCAGACCCAGCATTGGCTGTGCCATCTTCTGTTCTGAAATCAACAAACACAGTGTTGGTCAAGTCGCCCCCTCTGCGGAGAATGGTGAGCGCCACGGTACCACAGTTCTCTAGACATTGGTATGTCCCTTGCTCGAAGAAGATCTTACTGACTGGGTCATTTTCAGCCACTTCTATGTTGACTTCATGCATGCTGACAGCCTTCCTTGCTTGGTCAGCGGCATGCCTCTTTAAAATGTTGCCAGCTCCGGTCATCAGGCGAGTAGCTTGAATCCGATAAAATGCTCGGCTTTTTTGCTGCTGACTTAGGACTTGATAGTTGGCTAATTCTATTAATTGCTCAATTTCTTTTTCCGGATGCTTCTGTTTAAGTTCCTTCAGGATCCTTGCCATCTCACGCCTTGCTTCCTCGTCATCTTGGTCCCTCTCATCGACTTCCAAAACCAGAGCACCATCTAAGAAATTTTCAACATGAGAGTTGACCACTTTCCCATCCATTTCAATTTCAGTTTTGGAAGCTGGCCTGTCTCCTTCATGCTCAATAATCATCCCCCTCTGCTTGCCAGCCCTATAGCGCTTGTAGACGTACTTGTAAAAGAGAAGCCGCCTGTCTGCTACCCAAGCGAACACGACACAGATGGGAAAAAAGAAGAAAGTGAGCAATCCTTCCCAGACCTCCACAACACCAGGAGAGATGACGGACAGAATTATATAAAGCCAGGTATAGGCGAAGATGCTCCATGCTGCTGTCACAAAGAACACACGCAAATGCTTAATCTTCCTTGTCTCACCATCAGGGACCACATAAACACAGAGGGCAATGATGATGAACATGTTGAAGGCAGCACTGCCCACGATGGTGCTGGGACCAAGGTCCCCTGCAGTGAAGTTATGGCCACATACTTCAATGACTGAGAGGAGAATCTCAGGAGCAGATGAGCCCAGAGCCATCAAGGTCAGGTTTGACACCGTTTCATTCCAGATCCGTACCGTAGTTTTGGTGGTCTCCCCATTGGGCTTCTTTATGGTTATTTCTTTTTCTTGAGATGTGATGACTTCTATGGAGGACATGAACCGGTCGGCAATGATGGAAACTCCGAGAAACATGTAGACCATGGCCACAAAATACACAGTTGCTCTAGCAATTTTATCCCCAAAAGATGGGTCTTGGGGTTCCCAAATGGGAAGAATCACCCCTTTCTTGCAGTAGTATGAGCCAGTACATTCCGTGGTTTCATTTCCTCCTGCTTCTGACTCTGCTTCCGCAGTTATATGGTCAACATGGGAAAACAAGATAGCCACCATAGCTACCAGACGAAATCCCATTGAAACAGTCGGTGAGAGACTTAATCGCAGCATGTTGTACAATGAAACTGCCAAATGTCCCAACCTAAGAGTAAAAAGGGGGAGGAGGGATGAAGAGGAAAAGAAATCCCACAATTAGTACCAAGTCATCATTAATAACCTGTTCATATTACTCTATGTTCAGCCATCACAAAATCTTCAGGGAATCATTATTCTAAGACTCTACCAGTGACTAAACAACCATCTGTAAAATTTACAGTTCAATCTCTTGGTGGATTTTCTATGTGGAGTCCCATTCGCTGAGCAAGACTCACAATGACAAGTCCCGTTACAGTGCAGCTCTATTGAGCACACACTGGTGCACACTAACAACCAACAATAAACAGAAAGCGAAACTTTTGAAGCATTAAGTAATTTCTTCCTTATTGCTCAAGTGGATTTTCTTTTACATGTGACTTAGTACATTATCTTTGGAAACTATTTCATTGAGAAAGCCACCTTATAAAGACACACATCTTGAAACTCAGATTCTGAGAAAAGCCTCCGAATACAAGGCATGCTGATTATCTTATATCCTGGAGTACTTTATTTAATTTTGTAAAATCAGATCCCACTGCTCCAAGCTTCCTTGGAAACAAAGATCTTCAAGCTTACTGGCAATCAAAACTCAGGAGTATTTGTTCTTGTGAGGGAAAAGTATTTTACTGAAAATGCAGTATTTCTCCATTTTAAACACAGTTTTTAAAAGCATGTTTTCTTTAGGGCAGCCTCCCCGCCCCAATTTCGGCAAGTCTGGGCTCCTGATAGGTGCTCAGCTGATCACATGGCTCTTCAAGCACAGCTTTCCACATCTGGATACACAGCCTGCTTTGGAAGCTGCAGACACTGTGCAGCAGAAACAAGAGATAACCGGGCCTGGGCTGAACTGTATGGAGGAGCCTGGAGGGCTGTGAAAGCGGCCATAAAACGTTCTTCTCAGTGTCAACACAAGCTTTCCAGATTGTTCCAAAACAGACATTTTTAGTTCTATAGCGAGCTCAAGTGACCAGAACATGCACAAGTAATGATTACATCTAAATTAGCTCACATAGCATAAAAACTGTGACCACAAAGTAGACGTCAAATGAAGAGCTCTTGGCAGTTAAGACATTGAGCCACACAAAGAATGGTAAAAGTGAACTTGCTGACTGGGCCACCAAGGTCCTAAGTTCACCCACTAGCTCATGCAAAACTCAGCTGAAACCTCATATCACCTCTGCCTCTAAGGCCTGGGATTTGGGGTCAATGCAAGAGAAGGTTTATAACATTCATCTGGAATGCCTCAGGGAAGGACCATTTATTGCATCCACAAAGCGTGGATGGAAAAGAGGTGCTAGGCAGAACTCTGTGTTACCTGTACAAAGTTAAACCAAAGTCAGATGTCCTCATTTTCCAATCTGGCTCTCAGTCACTTCACTTTGGCCTAAGTTTTCTGACCCATGTCTGTTATGGATGACTGGTAGATAAAACCACAGCAAGACCTGACAGAATCCATTACCCACCACATGGCAGCAGACCTTTTGGATCCTACTGTAGCCAAGATCCCTTCTGGCTTATAACTGATGAGAGATGACTTTTTTTTTTTACATTTTTCACACACTAAAAATAAAAACAGGTTTTCAGACATCCAATTTAAATACAAGAATGATAAATAGAAATCTGTATATTCAAAGCATGCAAAAGTTCCTAGTCAGTCTTACCACCTGCTTAGTCATTGCAGATCATGTGTAGATTGGGAGTCTTTGCCTACAGTGAAGAGATATTCAGCCAGCTAGCTAGAGGAGTGAAAGGTCTAATTCCAACTTGTGTGTCGACTTAGGTCTCTCACACACACTCATGTGCTTAATATGAATTTCACAATCACTTCCCAAGGATTCAGTGACTGAAACACAGATCTCTGTCTTCGTCAATTTATTTTCTAGTTCAGAGGTAACAAATAAATATAAATACTGGCTATGAAAATGTAGCATAGTGGAGCAGAAAAGAATCAGTTTAAGGACAGACTGTTTGTGTACTGATGTGCATGCACAAGAGGCATGCCTGACTTTATTGATGTGCTCAGAGGTGAGGTAATTGTTGAGGAAAGTCCAAAGGGACGGAAGTGATTAAGTCTTGTAGATACCTACAGGAAGAAGATTCCAGCCAACTACAAATGTTGAAGGGCCTAATAATGACAATACTTGGCTCAGTGTGTCTAGATCCACTGAGACACTAGTGTGCTGAAAGCAGTGAATGGGGGAGATAGAACTCTGGAGTATGGAGGCTTTGGACTTGATAGGAATGGAAACAGATCCTCTTGAAGAGGCAGCTGGTTGCAATGTGGTGTCATTTTTTTCCAGATAGCTCTCTCAACTGGGTCAGTGTTGAACTGACTGTGGGAGTGGCTGTGGATTCAAGACTATAATAAGATCTGAGTTTTAAAGGAGCTCAAAGTCTGGCAGGTAGACAAATTAAAGATCAGACAGAGCCTTTGTGGTGCTAAGATGTTCTATGCAAAGCATCTTGAGAGCCTAAAAATATAAGAAAGATTAACCGGACGAGTCAAGACTGTTATCTGTCTCCATGTCTGATACATGAACAACTCTGTCCAAATTGCTGTCAAATCTAGTACTCCACTTTCCACGCTTCAGTCAGTACTAACTTCTACAAAGCAACGAAGATATTTTCAACCACCTGAAAATTCCATATTGTTCTCTCTCTCTCTCGCCTATTTCTCTGTAGTCAATGACTAGGTTCTGCTGAAGATCCTTTAAAATCTGATCTCTGAGCTCCAGGATGCAGTCTTTTCTGCTTGCTGAGAAGACAACACTGGCTTATCTCTGAACTATTACAGACTGCTTTCTATGTCCCAGACTAGCCATCTTTTCCTACTGAGCCTCATATTTTTAAAAGCATGACAGCAGCTCATAGTCAACTTCTTGAGGCTAAGACATTCCATATGTAAACACCACTGTAGACATCATGCTAAGTGTTTTTATGAGTATCAGTTATTTACAATACCTAGAACCACTTCTTGTTATGCCCTCCTAGTGTGTTAAGGCTTCCATGACAATGTAGAAACAAGCACCCTTCTGGAACTTTTTGGTACCCTGACAATAACTCTACGTTAAAATGAAATAGGAAAGCTTAAACAGCTTAAATGAAACTTAACTCCATATGGAAAATATAACTCTATATTCAATGTGGGACAACTGAGACATGGGCAGATTAGTACTTGGTGAAAGTCACACATAGTGAACTCTTGAATGAAGATTAAACCCTGGTCTGGTTCAGAGAGTAATAACTTCGCCTTGATAGTAGGTGAGGCAATATTTGACAATAGTTGTATTCCTATTTGAACTAACCCTTCAGAACCCCCTTTGGAGCAAGAAGGACCGTGTTAGCAGCAGTCCCCTGGAAGGCCAAGCAGCCTGGATTTTTCTCTTATGGATGAGACACTGAAACAGACAAGCATCAACGACAGCACAAGAGCTGGCATGTTCCTAGAGACAGCTGCCCTGCACGCCCTAGCCTTTAGCAATTGCCTGGCAACCACTTCCTGTGTACACTGTCAGGGCAATCTCAGGTCCGCCAACAAAAGCTCTGCCCTCCGTCCCCACTGTAGCCCATATCTGACACCGTTCTCAGCCAGAAGGCTAACGGATGTGGAAAGGCAGGTGGATCTGTACAAATCCATCATCATGATCCGTATCAACAAACAGAGAGGAGGGGCAGTGAGGGGCTTCTGAGGCGACCCAAAAACATCACAGTGATTTTCAAAAGGAGACAGCACAATAATTTGTGAAATCAGTGGCTACTAAATACTGATGTAACTCATTGGCAGTGATGCAGCTGGAAGGAACTCTCTGGACTCCAGTTTCTGTCTCCATTAAATTAATACCAAATGCAAATACTCATTAGGATATGAATCGGTGTTATACGCAAGGCAGTTCCTTTCGTGCCCTATTGTCTCTCTCTGCCCAGGGTCTTTGTCTTCATCATTTGACTAGTTTTATTTCATCTTCCTACATACCCCTCGAACATATCTCCATAGAAATTGAGCAGGGCGATAATCTAAGATCACGGAAAAGCAAATGCAAATCTTGCTTATTTTCAAACTTTCTTATATTCTTGCTCAGTCTACTAAATACTAGTATAAGTGTACATTGATTATGACGGATTCAGATCAACTAGAGCCAAGGATCACTTAGAAACATCTATTCGACCATCCAAAATTGTTCTTAGTATTATGTCAAGAATATTTGGATTATTTTCTATATACTATCTTTTTAAAAAAATTAAAACAAGACACCAGTATCACTGAATGAATTGACTGATAGTGACAGATGATGATAAAAAGCCAAGCAGGTGCAGGTAAGTCAGTTATTTATATAAAAGAAGAGTTACAGATGTAAGGAACAGAAATGGTCAAGTGGATGCTCATCCAGCTGTCAAGGTAAAGAGCCTCCCCAACAAAGAGAAGCAGGGTGCTTGTTCCAGTTGGAGACTGTAGCCAGTTTCGATTATCCAATAGTACCTGACTCAGAGAAAAGGAATATGCTGGATTCCCACCAGTCCAGCTCACTAGATGGCCTAATCACATTTTGTTGACTGGCAGTTGGTGGTATTCCAAGTAACTCCTTGACTTCTTTTCCTAGGGACCTGGAAGTCCCTTCCATGTTATTCTTGCTGATGGAACTCTTTAAAACTAAGCAGTTAATCTATTTCTAAGACAACAGTTAAGCAAATGTAAACTTTTATCCACAACCGATACAAGGACATTCGAGCTCCTCTAAATAAAGAGGGAAGAGCTAAGGATGAAAGCTCTATGCATCTGACCATTCCATCTAGGATGCTAAATACAGCACCTCGTTCCAAACCATAGTCCTTCAGACCAAAACCAGACTTCAGGAAAGGACTCAGTTTCCCCAGTAAATCTGCATCAACACCATGGTAACAACCGTCCCCCCACACCTATCAAATAGAGCAAACAGTGCTCCATCTCTGCTGATGGGTAATGAAGAAATTGGAAGGTTTTTGAAGGAGGCAGGCTGTCAGAGGCCAGAT